CCCAAATTTAAAATGCCTATGCGCTAAGCATTTTCTTCAGCGATATTAAAAGCTGTAGCTCAATGAAGACCGAAAATTGGCGCCGCTAATATTTTATAAGAAAAATTATAATATGCCTTTCCCTAATGCCCTAACTGCGATCGGCCACTTTGTGCTCCAGCAATTTGACAGGTCCCACGGTCGGCGGCAATCGTCTTCCCCGTTTCAGTTCGTCGGCCTCCAGATTCACATTGCCGATGTGTCATTCCCAGCTCAAGTGAGATACTTAAGCCTTTCTAATCTGCTGCACGATTCTGCCGAAACCCTCTTTATGTAGCCTGGCAACCGCAGTCTCACGCTCTCATCACACACCGATTGCTTGCGTGGATCCTCATCACCGGTGAATCCAGTGTACCCCGTCCCGCGTCCACTCCCAGTCCGCCTTCTCTTCATTCTCAGTCGTCTGCCATAACCCTCTTCCCATCTTCCTCTGTCTTCGTACTTCGGGTCTGAAAATTCAGCCAAAAACATATCTCTTTCTCGTTTTTCCTCCCCGTTTTTCCTTTTTTTTTTTTGTCTTCTTGGGAGAGCCGCAATTGAGTTCAAATAAATTACTTTTATAGTTAAGATTATTTTGTTTGAATTAATTAAATTGAGTCTTAATTTTTAAATTATGATTATAGTAATTAAATTTCAATTAGTTTAAGATAATATTTTAACTTATTCTAAATTAATTATATATTAAATTTATTTGATATAATGATTCACATTTAATTAAAAAAATAGAAATAATGCAAAATTTTGAAGTTAATCTTACCTGACCTTTTACTACAACATACCAATCCCTTATATTTTTCTCAAAAAAAAAATTATCAAAAAAGAGTGGGGAAAGAAATAGAAAGAAACAAAGAGAATGGAATACAGAAATAATGAAAAGAGAGAGGGGGGAGAGAGATAAAGAAGAGAGAGAGAGAGGGAGAGAGGAGAGGCTGCCAGTGGGAGTAATTACTAATTTGTTTTAGAAATTGAGTTTAATGTATAATTAATCTTGTATATGCTAAGTTTTATATTAATATAATTTGAAATGGGTTATTGGGCCAGTGGGGGCCATGCCCCCTGGGCCCCCACTGTAGATCCGCCCATGTATAAATATATATATAAGAATTTTATGATTTAGGAAGATATTTTTATATGCTTATTAGGGGAGTTCTTAGGCTTCTTGAAAAAGGGAAAAAAAAGTGTTACTATATTTTATTCCGAATAATATTGAAACTTTTGGCTATAGGAATAAATTGTTCTTAATTTTTTGAATTCTTACAAAGTTACAATACATAGGGGAGTTCTTGTACTAATGTATTTATTATAAATATCCTTAGAACTTACAATGTGTTATATGTTTTTGATTAATTCATCTTCAATTTTTATTTATAAGTTTTAAATTTTAACAAAAATATTAAAGTAAAAAAAGTTATACATTCAAAATAATTTGAAATATGAATTAATACAATTTAAAATTTTCTTATAGAGATAAAAATCATGAATGTAATTATTAAAAATTTTAAATATATGATTAATATCATTTGCGTTAATTAAAAAAGATAGTGATAGGAGTTTAAAAGAGCTACTTTTAAAAAATGATGTCGGGAAATTCTGATACAATTTCTTCAGAAAATTGATTCCATGTCAGAAACAGATGCCTTTTTTCGTAAAACAATTACAAATGGAGATCAAGGCTCACACCATCCTTCAAATCGCAAACACTCTCCTTTATCGGCGATGTCGACGACGAGGAAGAAGAATCAGTACAAGAAAATCCAACTTCTCTTCCCGCCACCGCCGCCGGAATTCTCCACATATCCTGCAATGGGCTTCCAATGATAGGCTGCGTTGCCGAGCCCAATCCGGCAGGCGTTGCCGTCATATTCCAAGACGGGTAGAACCGCGCCGGCGCCGGATGGCTGAAAGGGAAGCTGGTCGCAGGCGCCGCCGGTATGCTTAAGCGGTGGTAACCGACAGCGCCGTACAGGTGTGCCCGCTTTGCTTGCTGACGCTCGCGCTTGTGGGCGTTTTGGTGACCGCCGAGAGCCTGAGAGGTGGGGAAGGTACGGCAGCAGTAGTGGCATTCAAACTTCCTTCCGTTATCGGTGGTCCCGCTGGTGGCGGCGGCGGCTGTGGGAGGATGATCGTCAGCGGTGGAGGGGAAGTTGAAGCCAAAGAGGCGGATATTGGGTGACTTAGACGGCGGCGTTGGCGGCGGCGGCTTTATCTGACGGCGGATGAACGGGAGTTGGGAGAAGGAGTCAACGCTTATGAAATCTTGGCTTTTTCTCTCGTTCATTTTAGTTTGTTTTTAGGGTTTCAAGTAGGAGGAGGAAGAAAGAGAAGAAAGTGAAGAGGGAGTTATAAGGGTTTTCTCAAAAGGGAAGAAAGAGGAGGAGGAGTAGAGGCAAGAGATTATAGCTATGTGCCAGACCTGCTGCTGCTAACTACCATCAGCTCTTTCTCCCTCTTTTTCTCTCTAGATTTATGATCACTGTGAACTCTGTGGTCTCTGCTTGCTTTGCTTTCTTCTTTATATCACTGGCTTTCATGCATTGTAGCTTTCACTGCCGGACGAACTTTGTCTCTCCTCTCTCTCTCTCTCTCGATGCCTATATCAGAGTGAGTGTCGACGGATATTGGATTGGCTTGGTTGAGAGATTCTTTAATGCAGATGGTTACTTTATATTTGGCTGAAAGAGAGAGAGAGAGAGAGAGAGAGAGAGGGTGGTCCTTGGGGGTGGGTTTCAATATTACTCCAATAGGGAAAAGTCCAAAGCTGGGCCTGAGCTGTGTCTTTTTAGTTTTTACCCCATCTGCCATTCTATCATTTGCTATTACTGTGAGTTATAAGTCGAAGCTTACCATTAAAGCCTTGAATTTCTTTCATTTTAAATCTTTTTAGAGGGGTGAGCAGACAAATCGTAATTTTGATAATTATTAGTTGTTAGTGAGACAAAACCTCTTCACCACTAACGGCTATTTTCTTTGCTATTTCATGCAATATACTTAGCTTATCTTAAAACAGAAATCTCTCACTCTCTCTCTCTCTCTCTCTCCTTTGAGCTGCCTATCTCGATCTCATCTTAATAGTAGATTATCGAAAGAGATAACTTTCTTTCTAACTCTAAGTACCTATTTATTACATTCCTTCTATATAAATGGAGGAGAAAATTTGTTATTAAATAATTGAGAAAATCTATTACAAAAATCATAGATTTGATTATGGATATTTAATTAATAGTCACAAAAAAAGATGTTGTAATTTATTGAAATATTTTTAAAAAAGAGATGAGCTCCTTCTCCTATGGTATGAATCATCTTCATTGAGAACCTATACACCATAACAAGCACGTATTATGACTAATTTGGGTCATTGATAGACCTCCTACGAAGTCAAAAAGTTCATGAAAATACTATCCTTAATTGAGCCAAACTTAGAAGAACAATGTATAAATCCTTGCTTCTTATATGATCGAGAACCTCAACATACAACACAAAATGATGCGCATTGTTAACAATATACATACCTCCAAATGAAATTACTTGATGTTCGCTAATAACATGCATGAATCATGGCCTATCATGACTTGCAATATTTCAACTATACATATCATTTTGTATTAACTTGTATAGTAAGCTCTGTAAGACCTACCAATTTTAGAAAATGATGAGGAGCAAGTGAAAGAAGACTCTAAGATGATGCATGCCAAATATATTTAGAGCTCATTCTTCTCCTAAAATAACCATTATTTAAAGCTTAAATATATAGGATAAGTAATATAAATGTGTTATTTATTAAAATACATTAATAGTACACAAACATGCATGACCCACATCAATAGGGACATATCATAAGAGTATGCATTGACTGGTCCATGACATCTATAAGTGATAAGGGTAGACAACATAGTTATATATTTGCTATAACTTGTAAGCATATTTGTTAACGATAATAAATCTTTATTTATGGCTAAGATTCATGATATGAATCCAAAGTTATTGGTGATGTGTTATTCTAACTACTTTAGGGATGGTCTTTGTTCTCATTTTTCAGCCACAAGAGAGCATTTCAGGGTCCAAACATCCTCTCTCTCTCTCTCTCTCTCTCTCTCTCTCTCTCTCTCTCTCTCTCTCTCTCAACTATTATGTGCGGATGCCGAATGTTGTCCTAAGACCAATCAGAATGCACCACGTCACTCCTTGCAAGGTGTCCTGCTCGGTACTGCTTGGTAGCGCTGAAGTGGAACATTCTCATTGATCTCCATATAATGAACTACTTTTGGCGCTCGTACAGAATAATCTCTTTCTCTCTCTCTCTCTCTATTGCTAGATGAGTTGCGAATATATTTTCTTACTAAAAAATTGAATATAATTATATTCTTACTCAAGAAAATTTGAGAAAATATTCTCACTGAAAATTTTCTTTAATTAGAAAGATGAAATCAATTATATAAATACAAAAATTAAATGCATGTGCACTGATAATTAATAAAAATAAATAAATATGTAATTTTAAAATATATTTTTCTTTTAAAAATCTCTGTGGAAGGAGCTTGTTATTATAACCAAAGGACCACTAGAAAAGGAAAGGGGAGCATCCACAATGTTAAGTCATCCAAAAAGAGTTATATATACCATGTTGCTTATTATTGACCACTGGAAAAGTTAGGGCATTGAATAGTTCTTTTCATATGAACATTACTCTTATCACTGTACAGCTATCATCATTGCTCTTAGCACTTTTTTTATATTAAAAAAAAATCTTATAATTTTATGATGTAAATCATATCAGCATAGACTTAAATTTTATTCATTTTATGTTGAAATTATTGCACATATATCATATTATATGTTGCATTGAGTTCATCAATTAAAACATTTTAATATATTTTTTCTATGTAGAGATAGAGAGAGAATGGGTATGAACAAATTCAATTATTATTGACTTAACTCATTAAATAAATGAAAAAAAAAATTATTTATATTTAATTTATTAACTTAGTGATTCAAATATAAACTTATTATTAATATGCGACTCACATTCATCTGTTGGTTGGAAGCTTTGACTATCAACCAAAAGGTTTGATATTCGAGTCTTACGTATATGATGTGCATGTAAGTTTATCTTAGGCTTCGTTTGAGACTACTTTCTTACTGCTTCTGAAAGTAGCTTTTGAGTACAAAATTTTTAATTTTTGTACTAAAAAATTGCTTTAAGAAGTAGTAAGAAAGCAGTCCAAAATGAAGCCTTAATTGACTTAAATGTCTAAAAATATATTAAATTATTTTAAAGTTTATATACAATTATTATTAAATATGTGTCTTGCCTTCTTAATTTTGCAGGATCTTTGTTGGAATATTTTCACAAAGAAATTAATCAGATGGGATGGATTGGAATTTCCTCATGGTCAAGTTCTAAATGTAAAAGAAAAAGGGTATTATCTAACCTAGATAATGAAAAGGAGATTCAACGGCAAACCTAGAGCTGTCCGAGCGCGCGAGGAAGCGTCGTCTGAGCGCAAAAGCTGAATTCCTCCCATTACCACTATCAAACCAAGGCAGGAAGAGCTGACCGAGAAGCAGGAGGCAATCGAACCAGCGAAGCAGTCGGTCAGTTGTGCAGTTAACGGAGAGTTAGTTTTGAAGAGGGACGGTGTTTTGGGTGGTTGAACAGTAAATATGAAAGTTTTAGTGTTAGATAGGTAAATAGCAAAGTTTTAAGTGTTATGTATATAAAAATCCCTTATTTAAAATATAAATAAACACTATATAATTTTTTTTCATTGGCTTATAATTTGATCATTTATCTTTTCTTCTTGACATAAAAATATTTATATTATGATATAAATAATTTTCTAAACCACTGCATGAGATGTATGAAGATAAAAAAGAAGTCAATTTTACCCTAAATATTAAATAAAAATAAAAATAAAATAGACATTTTGCTATGTCTACCTCATTCAAAATTTCTTAGGACTAAGACAGAGACACAGTGAGAAATTGAAGAGATAGACATTTGAGTATTAGTTTTTTCTCTATTAATATAATTTTAAATTTTATTAGGGTGAGATTTGAATTTATTTTAATGAGTAACCATGATTTCTTGATCTAATAGAAGATGTAATATCACTAAGGCTTGGGCGATTTTCTTAATGCTTTTTAAAGCAATTTGTTAGTACAAAAATTTTTAATTAAAAAAAATTAGTACTAATTAAAAAGCTGCTTTAAAAAGCAAAAAAAAAAAAAAAACAGATGAGGATAAATACTCAATATATTTATTTAAAATATAAATAAACACTATATAATTTTTTTTCATTGGCTTATAATTTGATCATTTATCTTTTCTTCTTGACATAAAAATATTTATATTATGATATAAATAATTTTCTAAACCACTAAATGAGATGTATGAAGATAAAAAAGAAGGAACCTTACAGGCTACAGCTACACATTTGACATTTTGTCACACTTTTTAAAGATTATTATATGTGAGTTTTAGCATAGTATTAAATTTCTAAAGCAACTTGATTGTAACAGCTTTTTTATTATTTTTTAAAGTAGTTTTTTATTTAAAAAAATCTAATTAAAAAAATTGTACTAAATTTTTTTTTAAAAAGCAATTAAAAAGTTGTCCCAAATGAAATCTTAATGATAATTAGATAAACAAACTAAATGAGCAAATGATACTAAGAATTTTTATATATGAAAATTTTGGGAAGTAAACTATATATATGGCCTTGAGTTGAGATACATTTAATAATAATAAAAAATGAATTACAAAAGAACTCGATCTCACCCCTGAGCTTAAAAGCAAGATGATTGCATTTAGAGGTGTAAAATAGTCGAGTCGAATCGAATATCTGTCTAATCGAGCTAAATTTGTTTAGCTGTCATTGAACTCGAGCTCGTTTACTAGCTTGAGCTCGACTCGTCAAAAAATCCATAGGCTCCAGCTCGACTCGATAGCGGAGCTTGATTTCTTAGTTTTAAATTTAATAAAAAAATCAAAATTTTTTATAAATTTTAATTTTTAATATAGAATGAATTTAAACTTATTAAAATATATTATATAATAATAATTTAAATGAATTATTGGAAATATTTTAATTTAATCGAGCAGCTCAATAAGCTCTCGAGCCAAGCCAGCCTTGAGCTCGAATTCATAGCTCGATAAGCTTAACTCACGAGCTCATTAACGAATCAAACTCGAGCCGGCTCCAGAGCCATGAATAGACAAAACCAAGATGGTAATTGAGGATGGTTGGGATGGTTCTTGATTTTGAGGTGAAAGACAAAACCATTAGGTGGCGACATAAGAAAGGACAAGACAATCATTGAGGATGGGTTGGATTAAGGGGAGGTTGACCCCTTGAAGGTGAAGGCAACTGAACTTAGAGACGGTTAGTTAATACTTAATACAATGTAAAGTTGTTATTAATTAAGATCACTGAAGATGATAAAGATGTTCCTCTCCTTATAAGTGAAGAAGGTACCAACTAGAGGGAGCAAAGATGGAGTATGAAAGTCATGGAGGCTACTGAATAGCCAAAATGGACCACTCCATAAAAATTATTAGGTGTGGAGTGCGCACTGTTCCGCACTCAGTACCGCTGGGTACCGCTAGG